GAAAAAGCGGGGACATCATGGAAACAGATAGAAAAGGATGCTCAGGACAGGCTTCGCTGGAGTACTGTTGTTGATGGCATGTGCTCCACTGGGAGTTAAAAAGGGCAAGAGAGAGAGAGAGTAAGCTTGCCTACAAATTGCTCAATTTGAGAGAGCGATACCACCCTGCCCCCGCATTTCGGTGTAAGTTTGTAGACTTCATCCCCGGCTGTCTAGACGTCTCCGCGTGCTCCACGTGAGTCTCGAAAAGTACTCACCCCATCTCTTGAATCGTGTTTCTGAGGCGAGCGCGTAACTCTATGGGCGAGCGTTAAAAAGTGTGGTGGTGAGGAAAATACAAGGTGATCCACACAAAAATGTACTATTTTTTTCCCCTCCACACTGGTTTTGCGCTTCAAATCTGTCTGATATTCATTGTAAACTAATCTACTGAATAGTTTTGCTCTACACAGTGCTTTAAAAAAAAGCTATTTTCAACTATGTCTCCATTTTTGTACCTCTAAAAATCCCAACGATTGCGCCATATTGCATACTACAGCAGTCTGACAGGCCAACAGAAGTTGGCAGATAGTTTTTCTCAAGTTTCCTTTGCCTGCTGAGATCATGGGTAAGATAAGTAGCGAGCAGAGAGCTTTTTGTATTGAACATTTCCTCACCACCAACTCATTTCGTAAGTTTCGCACAAGGTACAGAAATATAATGTTAAAGTGTCCATAAGGCCTTCTTTGATGTCAGGGTGGAAATGGTCCGCCAGTTAATACCTGTAGAAAAGAGAATCAGAACTAAAAATTCCCAGAAAAAACGACCACTTCAGGTCAAACACACAACGTTCTCACCCCTTTAAACGTCACCAGGGTGCAGTATTCAGTAGATGAGCCCCATGAGACGTCTGTCCGTAGACGATGTCTGCAGCAATGACTTTCCTACATTTCAACGATCAGCATTCTCAAGGCAGATCTTCATCTACGACTGTACCATTTTCCTGTTCGCGAAGCTATCAGAGGATAGCAATGTGTTCATGATTCCTCGATCGTCTTGAAAAGCGTGAACATTTCTTCTATGACATTTGGTTCCTTGGCAAAGCCCATATTCACCTTTCAGGTTATAGGAACTCTACAAATGCTGTCTATTTGGGCAACCTCAC